TCGTTAGATCCGAAAACCGGGCCGTGAAACAGGATTTCGGTGTTCTGCCATCAGTCATTTTCATGACGTGATGGCGAGGGGGTTAAACACGATACATTCCATTTGATATACGAATAACGGACGTTGCCCGATGTCTCTTTGAACGATATAAATGGAAAAGCTCGCCCTTTGCTGCGCCCTTTGTGCCTGGCAAGCGAAGGGCATCCAAGTTGGATGATTTTGTTCAGGGTCAACGAGTATCAATGCTTCGAATGTGCCGCCTATTTTTTTCAACGCGCAGACTCCGAGCATCTATCCTATGGGACGAACGATGCAGAAATATGTGTATATATATATATATATATGTATATTTTTTCTTTCTTCTCTTTGCTCATCCTTTTTTTTTTAATGAAAAAAGGTAGGCTCGTAAATGCGAGGAGTATAATGAATCCGTTCTTTGATGGATTTTTGTAAAATGAAATATTATGTTGATTAGAGTGGATTGGTTAATGAGATATTGGAACAATGATGTGTTGATCTGAAATTGAGAAAAAGCAAAAGTTAATAAAATGATAGGCTTAAAATTTTGTTAAGTATAGAATTTCGTTTTTTGGTATCCATAATATTCATAAAATTGTAAGAAATTATTTTATGATTGTATATATCATCATAAAATATTTTCATATTCAAGATTTATTTTTAATGGGAAAGAGATATTGAATTTTTCTTTTCTTGAAATTTTCATAAGAAATTTTTTCAACCTAATTGATGTAGAAATAAAAAAAAATCATTAGTTAATATTAAATCATCATTATGTAAATTGACAGGATTAAAAATGATGGACAATAAAGCTTATACATTAATCGTTTCTTTATTCAGTTTCATATATATATATATATTTATATTTATATTTATATATATATATATTTATATTTATATTTGTATTTATATTTATATAATTATCTCCTTTGGTACCAGCAGTGCGATAATTCATTGGTAGGCTTAGTACAAGTATCCATCACTGGGATCACGTTATTACATGGTACATTATTTAATTACATTGACGCAGGTATGCATATCGTTAATTATATTCATATATTATACTATATATATATATATATATGCATACATTATATTAACTTATTACATATGTATGCGCGTGATTATTGTACAGTATGCGATGCGCCCTTAAATATTCGAAGGGAAAGATGATCGTATTCACAATAGGAGAAATGTTTCTGTCCGCTCATTTTTTATTTCTTTCCTTTTTAAATAACATTATGTATGTATGTATGTATGTATAGTGCAAAATATATTAAGGCCAGACCATTTATAGAAGGACAATTTTTTTGGAATCCTTCTCAAAGGCTAACCAATCATATACATATTTATTTTTTTATTCTCTCTCTTTTTATTCTGGTTTCTTTTTTCTTTTTTTATTATCAAATCGGCACATAGATGAATACTAATCATCGCAAATTGATGATAATGGATACTAACACTAATTTCGCGTTTGTTAAGTAATTAAGCATAGTCGAGTTTGGATAGATTAATAATTTGTTTACAAATGAAATTGATCGAGTGTAGAAATGGAAAGAGGATGTTGTTATTTTTTTTTAAATTATTTTCATTGGGTATCTAAAGATGGGATAGGTGATCATCTTAATGAAAATGTTCCACTTTTCACAATTTTGTGAATTTTTGAAAAATATTCGAATGTAAATTTTTGAATTAGAAAGTAATGTCGTGTATTAAAATATGTATATTTTATTCACTTACGTTTGATGAAATTGCAATATGCATAAATGTTAAGACCATCTTCAGATACCTAATGAAATATTTACAATACTATAAAAATTCAGATGCTGATAGTCCTGAGGATGTCGTTTTGAAATCGCTTAAAAATTCAAGGAAATTCCGAAAGATATTTTCTTGATATGCAAGGAAAATACAAAACGTGGGTGAAACGCCATCGATATGAATTTTCTATTTTTTTTAAACAATTTTTCTCCTTCGTCATTAGCTTTCACCCACGTGCTCTTTAACTTACACTATTAAATTCGGTATATTTTTTTTTTTTTAGAGATAATAATATTCATTGCGATTTCACTCGATTTTTAATAATATATTCGTTAAAGGATCTGAATTTTTTAGTGAAACAGAACAATTTATGGAACAAAAGTATTTACATACTTTTCATGTAAACAATGCACTACCAATTAAATAATATCGTAATATATTTTACAACACGCTTTTATACCGATTGCTTTTTGTCTTGCATAAATATACACTTCATTTCATACTTACACCTGTAATTGTTTTTATAATTTTGCAAATTGAAAAATTTAAAGTTACAATTTTAAAACGATTCGCGATATTAACAAATTATAACATGAATAATTTAATTTAATTCTAATATCAAATAAATTATCTAATGATCGATTAACGGAATATCTGTTACGTTAAATTATTTTATTAGAAAATTCTATCAATCTTTCTTCACTTTGCATTATTATTATTCGAAGAAGAGAGTCGATAGAATTTTTTTTTTTTAAACGTAAAATCTATGAATTTTGTTTTATCGTAACGTGGAAGGCCGATTTTACTGTAATTTGATTTCATTTTTTTTATTTATATCTTACAATCTATTATATATAGTTATGTATATATATATATTTATCGTGTAACCGTCGTAAACACCTACAGTCAACAATTCAATAACTTTAATAATATCGTTTCATTATATTCCATATTTTACACAATCTACACATAAATGTATTCTCATATCCACTGATATTAAATGTCGCATTTAATTCTTTCTTTCTACTAACGATCCATCCATTCATTCGTACTTCACTCATTTTGCATATTCGTAATTTGGTTTTTGAAGTAGATTTCAAATTATCATTATAATTGAGTAACTTAATATTCGGAACGATTTTTCTTGTTTTTTAATTCTAATGTTATTTCTAAAATCTTGAATAGTTGTTGCGTTCCTAAATTTTTTAAAGGGGATTTTAAATTTTTTGATTATTTAATTTTTAATATTCAAAATTTTGAAACTTTGAAATTTTTAATTTCGAAATAATATTCTTAATTTTTCAAAAATTCGTTGGATTAAAAATTTTCTTTGATTCTTCTAAAAATTCAATTTAACAATTATAATAAATTAAAGTTTCTTGAATTTTTTAATTTTTGTTTTTTATTTTTTTTTGCACAATTCACACTTTTTCTTTCGAACGAAATGCTTCTAGTTTAATTATTAAATTGGAAGTCAGGAGCAGAGATTATTTTCTCATGAAACAAAGAAATTCGTTCCGTCGAATAAAGAGAAATTAAAGCTAGCGTTCATTATATCTCATTTCCTAATTAAAAAAAATTTTAATAAAGGATCTCTCGATTATTAACAACATGATATCTTTATCGAAAACATTGTTATATTAACATCTTGTATTGATTGAATATAAAAATAATAAAATATTCACGATGCGCGTTAATAATAATAAAACAAAAAAAGACGAGGAATAAGAATCAAATTTATTGAATGGAACACGATATTTTTACCCTAAATTCATACGTTTTGGCACGTTCTTTCAAGCGAAGCGAGCATCAGTTTTTACTTTCTTTTAATTCCATTTCACAGTTGAAACGAATATTACATATTCGTAAAATTAACAATTCGATTTCTAATCTCTTATGTATCAAATAGAATCTTTTCATTCATAATTTAATTTTATGGTAAAGTATGTATACTTTGAACTCGAAAAACTACAATATTTTTCAATAAAAAATTAATTTTATACGCATTGAATACATATCAACACAATTTAAAATTTAAAAGGAGGTAACAAATTATACACGTATATATCGAATCTTGCTCGCTTCATTTATAAGTAAAAATCGTACGTATATATATATATATATTTATATATATCTCCTAACGTTACATACCCGTTTAAGATGCGCACACATGCACACACGCTGCAAACGATCATCCATAATAAACGACTCGCCGTAATAAATGCTCGACGATACATATTCCTCTCCTCTTATTTTTGTCGATTGCAAAAGCAAAGGGGTTCAGGGGAAGTTACGTTTCTTACAGAGTTATAGCTCGGTATAATTTTCACTTT